CACAGGTTAACACTATTTTTCTCTGTCTATGCAGCATCACACTACATGCCACCTCCTTCACATGCCCCATTTTACATTTTATTAAAGAGGGTACAGCTGTTGTTAATGATTTTTACCTCCATTTAGAGCAGCTTCACACCATTCCCTCACAGTGAGCCAGTCCTCTTCTTTGATTCAGTGCCCTTCTTTGTGTCCTGCCCAGCTTGTGGGAAATTGTACTCGGGGACATTTAAAACGAACGCATGGAAAGCAGAAAAGAGACTAAACCAGAGTTCTTACTGATGTTTTTCTTTTTGTAGTGCCATGGTGCTAAGCTTTAAAAATTCATTTAAGAATGACATGAACAGGACAAGCATTATGACCAATTGCAGGGCCCAAGGTTAGTGACAGGCAGTCATTTGGAGGGATTTAAAAGAAGAGCAGTCACTGAGGCTATTTGACTGTTTAATTGTATTTTTCTGGCACTTTGAAGCACCTGTTGTTTTAAGTTGGGCGATGTCAGAGTCAGACTGAATAATGAAGTGATAACATCCTTTACCACGTGTTTAATAGGGTTAGATTTTAATGCAAATCTTTTCATTTAGTCTATTAATAGAGGCAAGGTTTCCCCTTTGTTCTAATTAGCTGCTCTATGGTTACACAAGGCTGCTTAGGATGCTATTGATGTCCCACTGCCAAAGCCTACATGTGGGCCCACTGTACATGCAGAGTTAGAAAAGCCACACGCTGCAGAGACCTGTTTGTTCCAACATGCAGAGTTAGAAAAGCCACACGCTTGTTTGTTCCGCTCCTAATTCTCCTCTTATTATATATTTGTGTTCAATCTGTTATGTTCTTCTCTTTTCTGTCCATCTTGTACCTAAATTGTGTGCTGTTACTGTATGCTGCTTTCACAAGATAAATATAAAGTTTTGGTATTAAGTGTTCCTTGTTAGATGAAAATCCCAATTTACATAACAGTGCAAGACTTTGGGGAGTAATATGGCAAAAAATTGTACTTGGAAGTATTACCAACCTGTATTATCTTTTCAGCTGGAGAGATGATGCTTCTGATGGGAGCTGCATCTTTAAAGGCCAGGTGGCTGGATAAGGTAACATCTGTTGGGGAGGTTCCATTTTATGTGAGCAACAGGCAACAGATGCAGCCTCTGCACCACACCACCTCCATATAGATGAAATAGATTGTAGGAGTGACAAATTAATAGTGTCCTGTGGGACATGTTAATGAACATTGTTCTTTATGTTCATCTCAGCACCACAGCATAACAAAGCGCTAAAAATATCATGTGTGACTAGTCGATCTGTGGCCACTTTTTTGCCTGCTGCCCTTAAACAGATCTCACGTGGTAGCTGCACTCAATATCTCTGACCTGGATATCCAGCTGCTTTCCAGCATCATCCATGTCGATACACAAATTCATTACAAATCATGCCCACAGACAAAGCACTGGACATGATCTATAATGCTGTTTTAAAAAGGAAAAAATAGAATTGACAGTGACACCTTATGAATGGTAGCAAAAATAAGTTGGCTTGACTCCCAGATGACTATCAGACTCAAAAGCCTTCTTGGGATCTCATTGTGTTCAGGGCTAGAGCTGTGAAATTATGACACTGCAACAGCTTGGGTGCACTACTGGGACAACTAGGGCAGACAATGGAGTTTGCGCAAAGCCAGAGGACAGAAAACCATTGGAAATCAGTTCTGGTGAGCCTGACATGGTCCACTTGTGTGTGTCCATTTCACACAGTGGTCTCCGGCTTGAGTCTGTACAGAAAGGATCACCAAAGCCTGTGCGAAATAAGGAAATTTATATAGCTACTCTGAGGTGCCAACCAAGATCCAGAACAGCTTCAACTCAGCAGGATCGTGGCTCCTGGTATTCCACCGCATCTTGCCCTGTCTTCTCTGGATCATACAGTGACCACGAAAAAGAGTCCCCTCTGCGCCGCCAGTCCTCTTCTTTTCTCAAAGGCTCTCCTTCCAGTTTCCACAACTCTACCAGTCCAAACCCCAAAGGTTCCATGTCTAGCCTACCAGGGTCTGATCTCTCCCACCGAGGATCATTACTGAGTCTCCATGGATCTCTGCCCAGCTTTAATGGCTCTTTACCCAACCAAAGGGCATTGTTCTCTCGGCTAAAGATGCGGTCACTGGGCAGCTTGGACAATTCAAGCCCCAGTGAAAGGAGTATCAGCCCCAGCCTACAGAGCTGTGGCTCTAGTGATGATGGCAGTTGGGACACAAATAGCTGGAGCTCAGGAGCCACTTGCCTGCTACGGGCTCCTGCTAAGCAAGATAGCACTGAGGCATCAGAAGACTCTGGTGCAAACTCTTGCACCGCTGACCAGGTATCCACTACTGTGACGGCTGAGCCTGAAGTCATTTACCAAAACCTCATATTTTCATGCCCTCCTGCTAAAGCTGAAGGCAAAGGAGGTTCTGCTCCTGAGAGGGCTTCTGCAGTACTGAGGAAAGACACAGGAACTCAGAATATTTCTTTATCTTGTCTGAATACTGCAGTCTTATCCTATCAGCAAGATGAGAAAAAGGACAGGTGCAAGTTCTCCCAGTTTCTGAATGAGGTAACCTGCAGGGTGCTGAAATCAAATGGCAGTCCTCCTAGGCAACACACCACCCTCCGACATTGCTACCTGTCTCCTCCATCACAATCAACTCCATCTCACTCACAGCTAACAGCTATACTACATTCAAGACCAAAAAAACCACCACTACCACTATCATCTGCATTCGCAACAAACTTGTGGTATAGTCCGACCAGCTCAAACCTCCAGCCCATCAAAAAGTATGATTCAAAGGACATTACCAGCTCCATTCACCAGTGGAGTAAGACATTACCCAGCTGTAAGATCTTGGAGCCTGGGGATGTGTTGAGGAAAGTGAAAAGGGACAGTCAGTCATACCAAGAGCATGACCAGGAGCTTTGCACAAAGATCCAGGCACAACCTTCCGCCAGGAGACTTTATCTAGAGACAGACATTGACAGAGTGAGGCGACTTGATGAGCTGGTAGTTAATGGCACCCTGGGGACAGAAGGGAATGAGATAGGACTGGAGAAAGGGAGAGAGAGGGAACACGGGATTCCATGGGAGAAGCATGGAGTCTCAGGAATGGAGAAAGTGAAGGGTGGGGAGAATAGCAAAGCAAGCCCCTTGGAGAGAGAAAAAGAATGGGAGAAAGAGAAAGAAAAAGACAGAAGGATGGAAAGAGGGAGAGAGAAGATGAAAAAAGTGGGACTTACAGTTTTTGAGCCCAATCCTCCTCGATCAGCTTTAAGCGGATGGAGTAATCACTGCCCTGTCTTCAGCTGGCCAGAGGGATTTCCCAGAATGTCCTACAGGTGTACCTCACTGCCCAGACCTGTTAATACCACTGTGAGTGCAGCTGCAATTAAAAAGTTTGTTCAGATAAATTACAACACTTTTTTTTTTCTTATCACTGGTGGAAAAGAAATGCAGACTTTTGGTTGTATTTGCTTATGTTTTGAAATATTCTTCTGAGATGCCACTTGACAGGCCAATACAGCTGGAGCTGAATGGAATTTAATATGAATAACTTGTAGCAACAGAAGATTTACATTTTAAAAGTCTGGCTGCAGTATCCTGCTTGCACTGTAGAGTCACGGTACAGAACACAGCCCTGTCACCAGACAAAACGCTGATATTGGAAAGTCCTGAAAAACTATTATGTTCAGTGACAACATATTTCTGTCTTGATATATTTTCTGCACATGGCAAATGTGGTATATGATTAAGGCTGGGGAAGCGTTATGTAGAGAACAGTTCATATGTAACTAGACCACATGGTTAAGGCTGGGGAAAGATTGTAATTAGTTTTAAGTTTTTAGTAAATGAACATGAATTGCAGACCTGTAGAAGAGAATTAACTGGTTATCATCATGAATGGTTTGCTACCCAGCCACTAGCCTGAACTCAGTGTTTACTTCCTGCCTTGCTAAGTAAAAGGCGTGTTACTCCCTGTATTGGCACTGGGTGCAAATCATGAGGCAGAAAATCATCCAATATGAATGTAAGTCCTAAGGATGCTGGGTTGACAGAATATCATGTCAACAATTTCTATAGGGTTTGTTACTTAGAACATATTGTGAATGTTTGTTGGTATTGTAGCTGACCCAACCTAGGTGCTTTGACTTCCTAATGCCTCTCTCTAAACACCTCTCTCGGCATTGGAAGACTGTAATCTACCATGTACCTCTGCTGATATACTGTACATTAAGGTTCCAGCTGCTGCTTTTAACATGATGCAAAGGGTTTTTGGACAGTAACAAAGTCTGAAAGCTGTTTTAGACTCAGCAACTTCAGTAAGCTTGCATTAACCAAGTGTGTCAATTCCAGAGGTGTATCTTTGTATGAAGTGAACAATTTGTGAAAGCACTTGAGTGATTTTGAGTGTTTCTAGAATTAATTTAGTGTCTTTATCAAGGTTCGAAGTTGTAGATTGCTGGAAATGGGGAGCCAAATGAATAATATTACACAACCCTCTTCATCTTTATTCGAGGCTTTGATATAGCGAACAGTATTGCATCACACTCCCTCTTCTCAGACTCATTAGACATGACTCATTTATGTTTGGTGTTTTGCTTAATTGCATCTGACACATCACCCACTTGCCATATTAAAAAAATTCTGCAAACAATTGTTCATTGGCATGGTGTGAATGGGGAATCAGAATTTATTTACTGCTTTTCATGCACAGGAATGTAACGCATATGCAGAGCATACTGCCACTCTAACCCCGTCTAGATGGTCTCACTAGGCAGGATGTTCTCAAAGGAGGGCTGCAGTAAAAATCTATAGTACTTTTCATTTAAATGTGTTAGCATCTCTCTGCATTCCAAAAATCCAAAAGAGGGATGCCAAAGAGAATGTTTTAGTCCCTTTGGTATGTGATATTAAAAATACACTATCCCCTTATTTACAGCTTATTAACTCAGGGCCTAGAGTAAAAGAGAGAACGATGACTTGGGATTCAAAGAAATTTCACTATCCCGCTTGGCTGCCTGTGTGAAGGTAGCTAATACGTTAATAATTTAAACACATACCTCCTTTTTCCTCCTTTTTGTGATTTTGAGCCTCAGGCTCAGAAATGTTATTCATTACAATGGCCTCTCACACCCTGCTGCACTGCTGCATTAATAATCTTCTGTTAAATGGGTGGATCTTGACCAATGTGCAACAGTGAGGAAACATGGAGATGTTTGAGATGTAGCTTCCTGATTAGCATTTATTCACTGGATGGCAGCTCCCTAGCAACTGTTCAGTCCATGAGTGGGTGTTTGCAACAAAAGGAATAATACGTTTGGTATCAAAAGAGAAAGCTGCTGTATGTAAGCTTTTCAACTGACTTGAGGCTGGGTCACTG